GAAATATCTTTAGACCTGTAATCATAACCATTAACAATAAATGAGCGGTAACACCCAATGATATGATCCCAGTGTTCAAAAAACCTAGTTTTCAAAAAGTAGGCAGAGCCCAGTGCAGTGGTTCTTGAGCTGCTGTCCACAGATGAGATTTATATCTCAAGTCCTGATACCTTCAATATCTTCATCAGTGACTTGGATGTGGGTGTGAAGTGTACTCTGTCAAAGTTTGCGGATGATACTAAATAGTGGGGTGAAGTGCACACTCCGGAGGGTAGGGAATGATTGCAGGCAGACCTGGACAGGTTAGAAAAGTGGGCAGGACACAATAGGATGCAGTACAACAAGGACAAGTGCAGAGTGCTGTACCTAGGGTGTAAAAATATCCAGCACACCTACTAGCTGGGAAGTGACTCTCTCAGCCGCACAGAAGCGGAATGGGATCTCGGAGTCATAGTGGACTTCAAGATTAACATGAGTCGTCAGTGTGACAAAATCATCAGCAAAGGTAACTGCACTTGATCATGCATCAGCAGATGCATGACAAATAGATCCAAGGAGGTGATACTTCCCCTCTATGTGGCATTGGTCAGACCACAGTTGGAGTACTGCATCCAGTTTTGGGCACCGTACTTCAAGAAAGATGTTGATAGACTCAAGACAGTCCAGAGAAGAGCTACTCGTATGATATGGGGCTTAGAGGACAAGCCCTATGAGGAGAGACTCCTCTTCAGTCTCCACAAGAGAAGGCTGAGAGGTGATCTTGTGGCCACCTACAAATTTATTAGGGGGATGCAGCAAGGGATTGGAGATGCTCTGTTCACCAGGGCACCTCTTGGGGTAACAAGGAACAATGGTCACAAACTGACAGAGAGAGCAGATTTAGGCTAGATATCAGGAAAAACTTCTTCATGGTAAGGGTGGCCAAAATTTGAAATGGGCTTCCAGGGAGGCGGTGCTCTCCCCTACCTTGGGGGTCTTTAAGAGAAGGCTGGACAGGCATCTGGCTGGGTCATCTGACCCCAGCACTCTTTTCTGCCTAGGCAGTGGGTCAGACTCGATGATCTGTTGAGGTCCCTTCTGACCCTAGCATTTATGAATCTATGAATCACTTGGCTCTTCACTCTGACCCAAAAGGGCTTGCAGCTTTTCTTTCTGTTAAAAGTAGAGTATTAAGTTTGGTGCACATTCCAAATGAAATAGTGAACTAAATTATCACTGAAATGAATTTAAATTATAACTGAAATTCCATCTGGAAAGGTACCTTCATGTTCTAAACTAATGTACCTCTGTCCTAATTAGCAATTTCCCCATTCTATTCCATTCTACTTTCTCCCAACACACCCAGAAATAGATAGGAGACTGTCTGAAACTCAAAATGATCAACCTCATTCTGATGTAAGACCTTTTCCTAGGTATAAGAAATATGTTTACTTGGTATGTCGGCAGTTTACAACCATTTGTAGATTGAATGTAGGATTTGCTAGGCTCTCTTAAATAATTAAAAGGGTAAATAATTTATTCTGAGTTCACAAATACACCAGGTGCGCTTGCCCAAAACAAGGAATGATGGTGGAATTAAATATGCTAGAGACCTGGAGAGATATTGGTTTGTTACTGCAAAATATCTGCATTTAATACTCAAGAAGTACTTTTGCCTCTGAATTTCTGTAAAAGGAAGAAAACTATGTGTGAAGAAACAGTTAAGATATCTGGACACACAGATGTATATATTAAAAATGGCCAATAAATCGCCAGTAACAACAGCAGAAAAAGGTCTCTAAAGAGGTCTCTGCTATGTATGAATACTGTGGTTCATTTTATGTGAATATATATGTGAGAATTAAGACGTGGCCATTCTAGACAGGTTATCTTTTAAAGAGTTAATGTTGAACTTGCAGATTGTAAGTACAAGTTAATATTGAAGAAATGGTTGTGTCCGACAGGGAAAATGCCACTGCATAGGGGTTTTGATTGTAAAAAATTGGATTTAACTTCTATAGTAGTTTATTTATTAATACATCTAGTTTCTATTTCTCAGTCTATAACTCTGTTTTCCAGCCCTATCCTGATGTGTAAATTTTGTCCTGGAATGAGAGAATGATTCAACTATATTTTGCAGGAATCTAATTTATTTTCATGTTGGGTTAAGTAAAGGGTAGAAAATGTTTCCTCTACTTAAAAAAAAAAAAAAAAGAAAGCTAATCAGTTTTCTACAGTTTTGTTACATTTAGGAGTCAAGTAATATTTAGACAACACAAAGTCTTGCAACTATCTATCATTTAGTTCCGGGTACTATTAAGCCTTGTTTCTGCAATTTTAAAAATCTTTTGCTGCCCTTAAATAACCTAAAAGCAGTAAGGTCTTAGAGTGTAAACTTTCTCATATCCAAATCCTATATTGCATTTTTATTTCTTATATTTGCTTCAAATTATGGAATATCAGAGTTTAGATAGTAATTCATTCTATATAATAAAAAATTGGACTGGTCATTTCAGTGATAATATCACAGTACAGTACAGTCTTCGGATATTTCATTTTGCTGGGACTATATTTTATAATAAAGAAAATATTATATAAAGCTATATTTGCACATTTGGGCTCCTAAAGTTAGGCACTGAAAGCCATAATTAGGCATCCAAATGACTGGATTAATTTAATCCTGAAAAGTTCAAACTGAGCATCAGCATCTCATACTGAACTCACTTTTTAAGATTATATGCCTAAATATGAATTTTAATGCCTATCTTTCATGACTCAAATTTGAAAAAAATTGGCCACAACTATGAATTATCCCTAGTGAAAAACAGGAAAATACATACATTTTCCCTAGTCAAAAAGGACGTAGTTACTGGCTCAATTCCTATTTTTTATTGTAATTAATATGTAGAAATGCAAGAAAACAGTGCATCAAATTAATTAGCTTTACCCAGCTACACAGACAGCTGTCCATTCCTGTCATACTAAAGTTATTAAAAGTATTAAAATCACAATATACACAAAGCTACTTAGTTTCTTTCAGATGTTCCTTCCCGGACAGCAGTTGGTGAATAGTCAGTCTCATACTTGGTAAAACAGAGCCTTTAAAGACATTTTAAGATGATGAAAACAGTTTTTCCATCATTCTAATTAAGTTAATTCACATTTTTTTCCATTTTAGCAGCACATTATAAGACATTTTGAGAAAACAGTCTTCCAGCATTCTAATCGAGTTATTTCACGGAGCTCTGTTTGAAAAGCACAATTCCTTGATGAATTTTCTTTTGTATTTAAGGGAAAAAAAAATCCTTTCAAGGGTAATGACACTACTAAAGTCATTTGAAGCAAACTTTAAAAAAGAGTCTATGTAAATCTAAAAATGACAGGACTCCACAAACCTTCACATTAAAAAAATGTTAATAATTATTACTGTATGTTTCACTAGTTATTTATTAAATTAATGAATAACAAAAAGATTACATCCAACCATTAACAGAACTAATCAAATATTTGCATTTTTTTAGCTTGTAAGCACACCAAATATAAATCACCATTTGGACAATATTTTGGCAGGGAAGCACAAAAAAAAATCATGGTGGAGAGATCATTCCAAATAAAAATTAGACATCATGTATAAGTTCCACTAAGGGCAATGTTTATACCTTTAAATAGTTGTTTACTCTGTTTCTTAGCTATGTAATCAGCAAGCTGGTACTTACATGTATTAAAACGTAAAGGATGCATGGCCTAAATCTTTTCCCAATGTTAATTTATAGCTCCTATGACTAGTAATGGAATGAAATCAAAAGGACATGATTCAATGGAAAATACATCCTGCTATTGTAACGGAGAAGCTTGTACGAGGCCATGGAAGTCTGCTCAGTGCCAATTGATTTTATAGTTTCAGATGTATATGCTGTTGAGTCAGGCACAAGGGAAATAAAAGATCCTCATGTAAATGTCACAAGTTGTAAACATTCTAAATTGATTTAGTCATGTTGTTAAATGAATGAGAGAGAACACTATGCTACTTTTAAGTTTTAAAATCTACAATCTGTAACAGACTTAACAGAACTGTCATAACTCTGAGTATTCAGGAATTTGTGATGTATGCATAACATCTTTAGAAGTTACCAGTTTACGATCAACTAATCAATGGAACAATTCACACTGATCTGGAGCAAAAGGAATAATGTACTTAACTACACTTGCCAATATGTTCTCAAGAGAAAAGTTTTCCTTTTTCACCCCTTTTGGTTTGGTATACACACCTGGCTTTGCAATTTATACTGAAAGTGATTAATCATATATATATCTATAAATGTGAATGCATTACAGCACATTCAGTACTTTTGATAACTAAAGTGTGTTTGTAATGTACTATTTGTGTCTCTCAAAAAACCTTTCAGCCTTCTTTTAAAACAAAAGTCAGGCAGAGAATTGCAGGTCTTATATTTTATTTTTTAACTCCAACTAATAAAATCTGGAGAGTGTGGTGAGATCTAGCGGCAAGTAGTTTGATGTCCTCAGCAGGATACCAAAAGTCAGAAGTGGTGCTGTAAATTCAGTGTGGGGCTTCAACACTGTGCTAAGTGTGGCCTGAATCTCAGGGGCTTCTCTTTGATGCAAGTGTAGTATATTAACTGGGAAAGCATTCGCTTTTATTTGTCTGTACTGTTTGCGGCAGCAATATCGCCTCATTTAGGCTAGTTCGACATGAAAATGCACAGAGAAGCAATCTGTTACATATTAGCACAGCTCTCCTTTCATTGTACTAGCTCATAATTGGAAGGGGTTACGAAAGTGTAATTTATCAGATTATATGTGTTTATCTTTTTGTGGGGACAGCATGCCTTTGGTGAATTTTCCTACGCACCCTGAGGGAATAATCTTTCCTTGATGTCCATTTGATCTGAAAGAAAACAATGACGCCTGTGAAATATGGGAGTATAATTTGTTTGGTTTGAGAAGGAACAGTTTCCCAGACATCTGAAATGGTATTAATGGCTTTATTAGAACCTTACCTTTCTTTGGAAATGTTTTTGCTCTCTCGTTTCCAAATGATCTTGAAGTCACTGCAGAACTCATACCACACCGTGAAAACGTAGTTTGGTGTGATCTCTTTCTCACCAGACTTTGGCTTTATCCCAAAGTATCCCACTGTTTCTTCAAAGCTACAGGGGGGAAAAAACTGTCAACACGTAAACCCACTGGGGAAGCTTAGTTTCCCTGAGGGCTGGTTCCTGACTCAGTAGCCAAGACTGGTAATTACCATAACTTCCCTTAACCTTGGAAACCATAGCAGTGATTCTTGCCAAGTGAAACTAACCTTCCAACATCTACTTGTTCTCAGGAGAATAATTTTCGTATGTAAGTATAAGGAAACATAGATGGTCATAATGTATGCAAACTGCAGGCTCTTATTTTTAATAAGCCAAACATAATAACCTGTAATTTATGTAAAGCTATATTATCCTTATGAACTTGTATTTTATTCTGCAAAACTGAAATGGGACCTATTTTTCATTTACCTTCTTCAGAGTTATCTACCTTCTAAAGAGTCTGCAGAAGAGTTGAATGCCAGGCCAGAGACTCCCAATTCTACTCACTCTAGTTTATGGGTGACTCTCAGGTAGCTATGAGGAGTTCAGTCCAGCAACAAAAAAGCTACAGCCAGTGACATATAGTTTGAAACAAGATAATACACTGAAAGTGAATCATCCATTCCAAAGGTGTTGGTAAGCTAATAACAGAGATATTAATATGCACAGGGTTTTTTTTGCCAGTATTGTAATATTCTACTATTTTACACTGAAGTTAATCATTTTTGTGGTGTATCTGAACATTTCTAAAAGAACCTTTTACCGGTGAACATATTTTGTGGCCTTTAAAGTTATTGTGCAATATGCATGTTAACCATTTTCGAATCATGTGTCATAGATAAACTGGTAATTGATTCCATGACCATGATTATATGTGCAGAAACAAATGCATTTGTGCTTTAGTAAGAGTCAAAATAGTTTTCATGGCAAATTAAATCTATCCACCAGGCAAGCTTTTCTGACTTTGATTAAAAGCAATATTATAATTTTAAAGGATAAACAACACAAGAAAATCTTTTGAGGGAAATGTTTTCACTTTTCTTGAAACTCTGGCACTATTTGGGAAAAAGGAGACAATGCTTTTGTTTATATCTGCCAGCTGCTCTTCCTTTAGTATGCTGAAGTCTTGAAACTAATAGAAGGTGCTCTTTAATATGGTCTGTAGAAGCTACAATTTAAGTTCAACAAATATAATTTTCATTCAACTCATCTTTTGGAAAATGTCAGAGGCCATGATTGTGATAATAGAACAAAATATTTACTATTAATGATGCATATCTTAAAATAACTGGACTTGCCACATAGTATCAATCTCTTTATATTTCTTTAACGGTGTATGGAAAATGCAATTAAAAAAGCAAAACCAAAAAGATCCCCAAGCACAGCCTATTTTTTCTTGTTTCTTACAGTGACAAGAAGGGTACAGCTACCTAGAGCATAACAGTGAACCTAGCCCTAAAATTGAAAATATATTTTAAATGATTTAAAGCTACTTTACATATGTTTAGATAATTAGGAATCTCTGGATTTCTTTTTTATATATATGTTAAATAAGACACCACCAAGAAAACTCTTCAGCAAAAATTGTAGTAATAGGGCAAAGACAGCAAGTCCATTAAAAAATTACTTGATATAAAAAGCATAACACTCAAACAACATGTCCCCAAACTACTTTGAATTTGCCTGTATTAAAGAAATATAAAAATAAGGAAAAAATTATACATCTTTAAAAATCAGTTAAATCTAATGTATGACTATATGCACTGAAATTCACTAACTAGATTTGTATGATAATATCCCGGTATTACTACAGGGTAGGGATAGAGCTGTACACATATGATTATAATCAGACAAATGACTTGTAAGTCAAGGCCATTCTGAGCTCTGCCTTGTCTTGGGTGAAACTTTCCCTTAACTGCTTTGTGCCTCAGCTGAACCACCTGAAAAGGGGAACAATAATACCCAGCCTTGCAAAGGTGTTGGGAAAATGCTCATAAAGTGCTTAGAGATCCTCAAGCAGAGCTGTGTGCAATTCAACAAAAGTTGTTGAAAATGGTGTGTTTCCCTCAAACATTTTTTTTGATGAATTAGTATATTCTGATGAGTCAGATGGGTCTTTCTTCTGCATTCATCGTTAGATAAGATGTAAAACCTGCCCTCTTTCAACCAACAAAGATGCTGCTACATTTTTCTGAAGAGTTAATTCTTGGTTTGTGAGGGACATAATACAAATATCTGTATTTCTTTTTTTGTAACATAATAGTTGCCTTGCATGTGACATCTTCCTAGTTTTGACATGTCAAAAATAACATTTGTCCATTATTCATTTTTTATGAGTGCTTCAAAAACTAGTGAAAAGTAAATTCTTTATCTACTGTAAACTCTTTTTTCTTACTAAATTTACATGAATACTGCAATTCCATTTTAACAGGATTCACAAAACTGTAGTTTGCACATGAAATATTCAGTCTTATTTTTTTCATATGCACTATAAAATCCAGGCAAGGTGTTTCCCAAAAATCACCTAAAATACTGACAACTAAGACCATTTACAGTAACTTTATATCTTGTATGCAACAATATGAGAGTCAGAAGCTTTACACAGGCATAATTTGTAAAGCAATGTTTTGAAACTGTTAACTTCTGCCCACTTTTCTCCCTTATGCCTGCTTCTCCAAAGCAAATTATGACATGGATACACATCCATATGTTAGAAAGATTACAAGTTCAAAGACTTCTCTCATTTGACTGATTTATATTTTAGAAGGGGTAAAATGGTATTCAAATATAGTTTATTAATATAATTGTTCATAATTTATTAAAGTATGTTGAGAATTCAGATAAGGAATTAAAAAATTAAAACTGTAAGCATATTAGAATATTTGGTTCAAATCACTTGATTTGATTTATATCTATTCTGGAAGAGGATGTAAAAAGGTTTGGGGAAGCATGAGATTTCTCTTTTGAAGTACAGTAGTCTTTTCTGTTTAATTGCAGTCACATTATCACTATCATCTTTAACCAAAATATAGTATCTTTTGAAGGGACTAGAAATCTTACCATTTCTTTGCATTCTCCAAACAATTCTCTTCTTTCTTGTGTTCTTCTTTAGCTAAAAATAGAAAACATTTGTATTTATATTAGGATCTGACTTCTTGCTCTTTTGTTTTAAATTATTCTTTATAGAACACATTTTTTATGTTTGGGTTTGATTGCCTGGATAATAAATACAACAAAATAATAAACATTTCTTTATTTTTCAGTCATCCATTAAAAAAAAATGTCAGCAGGGAATACCAGGGTTTGAAATGCCATCTTAAAATCAGGTAGTGTACTATATAACATTGCAGCCTTTTCGGAACATAATGCAAATTATCACATTTTCATTTCCCTATTAAGAACAATACGTTGTTACTTTTGTTCTCTCTATTTCTTGCTGACCAAATCCTGCAAAGTGAAATTTGCTCTGGAGAGACATATAGTTGAAAATTGCTGAACAGAGGCCAAAAAGTAGTTAATTATATCAACCATTTCCAACTGATATCACACTTGATTCAGGATGCCAGCAAAGTGAAAACACATGTATCAAAATTTTAATGTACATGGTGTACATGATTTTTGAAAACTCTGGCCAAGATTTTGAAAAATGACTAGGAATTTGGGGTGCCTCAGTTTTAGAATGCCTAATTGAGTCACAGGAATGAAGCTGATTGTTGGAGGGTGGTGTTCTCTCTCGTCTAGAAATTTTTCTTGTGTTAGACCCCCAAACACTGATGGACACAAAATTATTAGTCAGTTTTCAAAATTTTGGCCAGTTCTACTTAGTTCAAGAAACAGTGAAACTCTTTTACATTCAACTTGGATATAAAAAAGCACCACTTACATCACTTATACTAGAAAAAAAAGAAAAGCTCTATTCCACCAATGAGTAAAGAGTAATGTAGAGTAAAGGATAATGTAGAGAGGGCTCATGTATTTTAAAGATGCTGTGATAAATAGCTCCATCTTTACCCTGTCCTGTCTAAACCACCATATATAATAAATATATATAGGTGCTGATGTATCACTGTCAATTGTTGATGAAATATAGCTATAAATCTTTGAGTATAGGTAAGGCCTTTGAGCAACAGATGAAAAGTTCTGACTTTGCTGTATTGTAATGGACCTATTTACATATAAATTTGTACAATTTTATCAAAAGTTATGCTTTTAAGCTGATTTAAGCACATTTTATCTTAGGCTCAGAGTGTCTTATATCTATTAATTTAAGTTTTACCAGTTTCCGCTCAAATTAAATAAGCCCTGCTTAAACAACTCTTCTTACTAAATTGATTTTAAAATCAGTTTAAGTTAAAACAGTGCAAATTCTTTGTGTAGAAAACAGGGCCAAATTCTATTCTACCTATTAGGCATGTAAGTGGACTTAAGTGCTTAAGGGTAGAAATAGGTGTCATGTTATGTTGCATTTCTGCCACCATAAAGATATCTATGGTGGGACAAATGATGAGCAAATAGATGCCCCTTCTTTTTGTTGTGCCACATTGGTGGCCATGACAAAAGGTAGCGTAAAACAGTGTTGTTTTATTGCAGTGGACATCCATTTGCTCTGTGATGGGACAGCATGGGCAGCTCAGAGCTGCCTGTGTTTTTCAGCCTCTCTAGGCAGATGTTCTGGGGCCCTGAGGGCCCCAATCCTGTGCACCGCAAGAATTCTCACAGAAGATCAGGCTCCTCAGCCTCAGAAGCATCTGGCTGGCTTTCCCCACTTATGGAGATGTGCCCTGGGGAATCTCAGGTTGGATCTCTGTAAGCAGGGAATATTGGGTTCCCCCATTTATGGAGACCCACCCTGGGATCTCCAGGGGTGCACCTCAGTAAGTGGGAAAAGCTCACATGGATCCCAGCATGGAGGCACCGGACTTCGGGAATTCCCAGTGCTCCATGTCTCCATGCCAGGAGCTGCGTAGCCCCATGCCTCCATGTGAAGAATAAGTTGGTGCAGAACCCAGGAAGGGTCTCAGCACAGGGACACAGGTTACCAGGAATTCCCTGGGTCCCCCACCTCCCTTACCTCCATGCCAGGAACTGCTCTGTACCTGTGCTTCACATGGAGGCATGGGTGTGGGTGTGGAGGCATGGGGACTCAGGGATTCCCTTGGTTCTGCATTGCCCCATTCCTGGGTGCTGTCCCAAGATTGGACTTGCACTGCCCTGTGCCTCTGCACGAGGTATGGGCCAACGCAGTTCTGGGCAAGGAAGCACTGGGCAGTGAGGGACGGGAAAAAGGGACCCTGTCACCTATTGTTCTGTATTAGGCCCATGCCTAATGTGGGACAATGGGCAATGTGTCTGTCTTCCACCCAATTAAGTGGATCAGTCGTGGTGGGACATACCCTGCTACACTGATACACTTCATCTGGAGAGATCTATTTATACCCTTAGTGCAAGTCTATTCCATCCTGGCCGAGTTCTCTAAAAACAGTGCAATAAGTAAGTGGATCCTCCTCATCCTTACTGATTTCTATGTGACTCAGTCTTAAAGTAAGATGACAGCATATTACAAATGTAACTGCATTAATGGTTTTTTCAGGGACTTGAGCAGGTTTAATAGAATTGCCCTTAAGCACCTAAGTCCACTTAAAAACCTTATAGGAGGAACAGAAACTGGCACATTGTCTAAACACACATTAGAACTGAAATAAACAAGCACTTGCCTACACAAGACAATTTCACTGATTTAACTTGCGATGTAGTATTAAGCAGATTTAAACAAGTGCAAAAAAGGTGAGAATTCTCTGTTTGTTTTAAACTGGGACGAAGAACATACAATACTCTCATAGTTTGAATACAACTGAAAATAAGTATCCATAACAACTTAACTGGTCATTTAAAAACTGACATAATGTAATGGATTGCTGAAAACAAAGCCTTAGGGCAAGCCTACTTGAACACTAACTTCAGATGAATTAGCACCTCAATCCAGACAACAAAAATGACCAGCACAATAGGATGGCATGCATAGGACATGAGTTGAAATGAACCACCATGAATACTCTGTTAATGTTGTTATACATGCACACATATCAAAAGACAGTAGTATATGAATTTAATCATTCAGATAATTTTTAAGACTTATTCCTATTCATCCAAATCAGACACTCAACAAATTTTTACTTTAGGTCAGCAGCTGGCAACCTTTTCAAGCCACAGGCCAGAACCACCCAGCTCTAGTTCAACACAAGCCAGATGGCTTCCACAGTACATCAGTAGTGGCAGCTTTCCCTGTTTGAGCACCAGGGCTGAGCAGCTGGGAGTTGCAAGCCTGTGCTTCCTCCACTTCTCCCAGCCCCCCACATTTCCTGGCTTGGCCACAGGCTCAGCTTCCAGCCAGTGGGGAGCTGCACTAGAACTGGGTAGCTGGAAGCTGTGTTCATGCTGCTGCCACTTCTGTACTGAAGCTGGGAGGCGGGGAGGGGGAAGGAGAAGAGGCAGCCATGTGGACATAGCTTCCAGCTGCCTGACCTTGGTGCAACTCCTTATTGGCTTTGGAAGCTGCAGCTCTGCCAGAACTGGGGGGAGGCTATGGAGCAGGGTGGAAGGGGAAAGCAGTAGTGGTGTAGACACAGCTGGATGTTACCTGGCCTCAGTGCAGCAACTTGCTGCTTAGCCCTGGCATGGGTGCAGATATGGGCATAGGTAAAGACCTTCAGCTCTATGGGCTGGATCCAGTGGCTCTGCAGGCCAGATGCAGCCCAGTGGCCATATGTTGCTGACCCCTCCTTTAGCTAATAGCTGAAGAAACTCATCCACTTTGATTTATCACTGCCACTCTAGACCATCTCTGGCTATAAACAAACCAATTAAATACTATATGCTTATTGACTGGCTGATATTAGTTAAGACAACTACGCTTGACTTTGAAAACTTACATGGCACATTTTTAATGACATCTTACATAGATTATTTAATTTCTTTATTTCCCAACATCATCTCTGTTGAACTAGTACAATATGAAAGGCACTGAATATAGTATATCATAAGTATTACTAGTTAACATTTCTGGTACTACAACAAACAAGACATGTCTCAAATGACATGGGATTTCTCAGACACTATGTTTTTTGAAATTTGAAGTTTAAATGTTCATTCAAGCTAGAACGAAGAAAAATTCTTTCTAAAGAACAAAATATTATGTATTTCACTGGAAATTTTTAGTGATAGTTAGCTGAAGACAGGAGGATATAAAAAGAAAAACTGGGAAGGGAACTAACTATATTATCTTTTTGCATTCTTCATACAATCAAAATTAAATATATCATCTTTACAGACCTGGTTTGATTGATATGAACCAACAGAATATCCACAAAGAAAGCATGCCTACTGTATAGATTTGAATATAAAAACCCAGTTTTGCAATGAGCCAATTTTACAGTTTACCTGGGATTTATCCAGGTTCAGACAGCACTCATTTTATTATTGTAAAACAAAATATTTAATATATCATATTCTGATAGATGTAAAGTAACATTAGGATACTAAATTACTTGACCAAAGTACTAAACAGTAGGGATAGCTTCTGTTATTTCAAGTCCCAAGAAATTAAGCAAAATTCAGAATAAACTGAAGGGTTTTATTCAATTAACAAATGCCATAAAATACAGAGCTAGTTTGGAAATTCCACTCACGGCTTTTTTATGATGATGGAGTTTTTTGTGTGAACAAAGAAAATATGCAAGATAATACTTATGCTGTCTATGTAAGGATTCAATTTTCTCCAATATTGTAATTTATTATTATTATTTATAGTAGTGACTTAGGAGCTACAGAAAGAGGATGGCTTATTACCTATAGGTGCAATGATATAACATGGTTGCTTTTGAATAATTTAACATCACTCCAGGGAATAGATATACAGTGTACAGTCTTACACCACTACATAACACTCCCATCTGGGATAAATTACTCCTTAGAAATTTCAAAATAGATATATGCTGGCAAAAATTGATCCAGAAGGGGTGAAGTGATTCAGTCACAGAACCCTTTCAGATCCTGGTGTGGGCGTAGCAGCTGGGGGCTTTAAAAACTCCTCAAAAGGGTAAAAATTCACCCCCC